AAATAAAAAATAAAAAAATGGTTAAAATAGCAAGTTTTATTATATATATTTACCACAAATTAGATAGATGAATAAATGAATTGATGAAGAGTGCTAGAACAAGCAAATAGACCCTAAGTACAAACACTGAACATCACTGGGCTTGATTTTTATCTCAGTACCTTTAGGCAGATATTTGATTTCTCTATGACTGAGCTTATATGCTTTACCTTTCAAGTATTTTCTACTAAAAACAGAAGCCAGGGTCGCTTGGGTGGCTCAGTCAGTTAAGTGTCTGACTCTTGATTCAGGTCGGGATCTCAGGATGGTGGTGTCAAGCCCTGCATCAGGCTCTCTGCTGGGCATGGAGCCTGCTTGAGATTCTCTCCCTCCCTCTCCGCCCACTTGTGCACTCTCTTAAAAAAAAACAAAAAACACAGAGGCCAAGGCTTTATTTTTTTTTAAAGATTTTATTTATTTATTTGACACAGAGAGACACAGCGAGAGGGATCACAAGCAGGGGGAGTGGGAGAGGGAGAAGCAGTCCTCCCGCTGAGCAGGGAGCCCAATGTGGGGCTCGATCCCAAGACCCTGGGATTATGACCTGTGCCGAAGGCAGGTGGTTAATGACTGAGCCACCCAGGCGCCCTGAGGCCAGGGCTTTAAACAAAGGAGAGTAATCAACACTCTGGCCCTCCCTTTCCACACCCTATAGCCTCAGTGCCAGACTGGCTGCACTGAAAGCAGGACGAATCTGGAAAAGATACTCTTCTCAGGAAAGCATGCATAAGAGTTTAGCCAGTTTGTTATTTCCATCTTTAAAAATATTTCTTAAACACAGATTTCTTCAACAACAACAAAATATGGAGAAAGGTATACCATGCTAACACAAATCAAAAGAAAGCTGGAGTGCCTGTATAAATTTCAGACAAAACAGACTTCAAAACATGGAAAATTACAGGGATAAAGAGGGTTATTCCTTAGCGATAAAAGGGTCAGTTCTCCTAGAAGACATAATAATCGTTAATGTTTGTATGCATTTAACAAGAGATAACTAGGCTGGCAAGGATACGGAGAAAAATGAACTCTAATGCAGTGTTGGTAGAAATGCAAATTGGTGCAGCTACTTTGGAAGACAGTGTGGAGCTTACTCAAAAATTTAAAGTTACAAAATGAACATGTCATAGGGATGAAAGGTACGGCATAGGGAATATGGTCACTGGTATTCTAATAGCGTTGTATGTTGACACATGGTCACTACACTTGTGGTGAGTGTAGCATAACTGAGAGTTGTTGAATCACTATGTTGTACACCTGACACTAATGTAACATTGTATGTCAACGATACTTCAGTTTAAAAAAAATATATATGTATGTATGTAGGAAAAAATACATATGTATATAGGAAGGTAATTGACTTTTATTTATATTATATATGTCAATTGCCTCTCTATATACCAGCCATGGGCAATTGAAATTTGAAATTAAAAACAATATATTTACACTAGCAACCCCCAAAAAAGTACTTAGTAAATCTAACAAAATATGTACAAGATCTATATGAGGAAAACTATAAAGCTTTGATGAAAGAAACCAAAAAAGATCTAAATAAATAGATATTCCATGTCCATAGATAGGAAGACTCAATGTTATTATTATGTTAGTTCTTCCCAGCTTGATTCTATAGCTTCAATACAATCTCAACCAAAATCCCAGCAAGTTATTTAGTGGATACTGAAAAACTCTAAAGTTTATATGGAAAGCTAAAGACCTAGAATAACCAACACAGTATTGAAGAAGAACAAAGCTGGAGAACTAACACTACCCAACCTCAAACTTACTATAAAGCTACAGTAATCAAGACAGTATGGAATTGGCAAAAGAATAGACAACCAGATGAATGGAACAGAATAGAGAGTTCAGAAATTAACTCACACAAATATAGTAGACTGATCTTTGACAAAGGAGCAAAAAATAGTCTTTTCAACAAATGGTACTGGAAAAACTGGGCCTCCACTTGCAGGAAAAAAAACATAGACACTGACCTTACCTTATGCCTTTCATAAAAATTAAAATAGCTCAAAGGCATAAAGGTAAAACATAAAACTATAAACCTAGATAACATAGGAGAAAATCTAGGCAACCTTGGGTTTGGCAATGACTTTTTAAATACAAACCAAAAACACAGTCCATTAAAGAAAAAATTGCTAAGTAGGACTTCCTTAAAATGAAGAAATTCTGGGGCACCAGGGTGGCTCAGTCATTAAGCATCTGCCTTCGGCTCAGGTCATGATCCCAGGGTCCTGGGATCGAACGCCACATCGGGCTCCCTGCTCCGCAGGAAGCCTGCTTCTCCCTCTCCCACTCCCCCTGCTTGTGTTCCCTCTCTTGCTGTGTCTCTCTCTGTCAAATAAATAAAATCTTTAAAAAAAAATGTTAAAAAAATGAAGAAATTCTGCTCTGTGAAAAACACTCTTAAGAAACTGAAAACACAAGCCACAGACTGGGAGACAATATCTGTAAAACACTTACCTGATAAAGAACTTATATCCCAAACACATACATAACTCTTAAAACCCAGTAGTAAGAAAATAAACAACTGAATTTAAAAAATGGGAAAAAGACTCAGACGCCACACAAAAGATGTAGAGATGGCAAACAAACATATGAAAAGATGTTTGGCATCATATATCATTAGGAAAATGAAAATTAAAAAGGAGATACCACTACATACCTATTAGAATGGCTAAAATCCAAAATATTGACAACATCGATATGGATGTGGAGCAACAGGAACTCTCATTGCTTGTGGGAATGCAAAGGGTGGGAGCCAATTTGGAAGAAGACAGTTTGGCAGTTTTTTTACAAAGCTAAACATAGTCTTACCATTTGATCCAGTAATCAGGCTTCTAGTATTTTACCAAATGAGTTGAAAACTTATGTCCACACAAAAACTTGCAAACAAATGTTTATAGAGGCTATATTTGTATTGCCAAAAACTGGTAGCAATTAAGATGTCCTTCAAAAGGTGAATGGATCAACAAACTGTGGAGGGCACTTGAACTAATGAGCACTGGGTGTTGTATGCAACTGATGAATCACTAGATTCTAACTCTGAAACTAATAATACAGTATATGTCAATTAAATTGAATTTTAAAAAACTGGTGCATCTCATACAATACAATATTATTTACCAATAAAAAGAAACGAGCTATCAAGACATAAAAAAATATAAAGGAAATTTAAATGTATATTGCTTGGTGAAGGAAGCCAGTCTGAAATGTTACATACTGTGATTCCAAGTGTATGACATTGTGGAAAAGGCAAAATTATAGAGACAATAAAAAGATCAGTATTCTCAGCGGGAATGAGGAGAGACATGAAGAGGTGGAGCACGGGATGTTTTTAAAGCAATGAATCTATGCTGTACAGTAATGATGGGTCCATGATACCATGCCTTTGTTAAAACCCATAGAACTGTATAACATAGTGAACCCTAATGTAAACTATGGTCTTCAGTTAATAATAATATATCAATGTTGGTTCATCGAATGTACCACACTAATGTAAGACCTTAATAATAGGGGAAACTGGAAATGGGCACAGTCTCTGTACTATCTGCTCAATTTTCTATAAACCTAAAACTGCTTTAAAAAACATGAAATCTGGGGTGCCTGGGTGGGGCAGTCAGTTGGGTGTCCAGCTCTTGGTTTCGGCTCAGGTTGTGATCGCAGGGTTGTGGGATCAGGCCCCGTGTCAGGGTCCATGCTCAGTGCAGAGTCTGCTTGAGACTCTTTCCCTCTCTCTCTGCCCCTTCCCCCATAAATAAATATTTTAAAACATAAAAATAACATGAAGTCTATTAATTAATTTTTTTTAAAGATTTTATTTATTTGTCAGAGAGATAGACAGCACAAGCAGGGGGAGTGGCAGGCAGAGGGAGAGGGAGAAGCAGGCTTCCTGCTGAGCAGCGAGCCCGATGTGGGACTTGATCCCAGGACCCTGGGATCATGACCTGAGCCAAAGGCAGTTGCTTAACCGACTGAGCCACCCAGGCACCCTGAAGTCTATTAATTTAAAAATTGTTTTTAAAGATCATAGGAGAAAAAAGGTAATCTCTCCCATCATTCTGACATCAAAAGACTCCTACTAAGACATCAGTAGAAATATTCCTGGAGATTTTCTAATCATGTATATGCACACACATACACATACACACACATTGTACTTTTTTTTTTACAAAAGTAGGATCATAGAATATTAACTATATACAAGTTGTTTATGATTCTCACAACAATCCTAAAGGTTACTGTTTCTGTTTTATGGATGAAGAAATTGAACTAGTAAATGGATGAACTGGGTTTAATTCCCAATGCATTTCATTCCAAAGCCTGTATACTCTTACCACCACACCTCTTTGTCAAACAAGACCTACTTTTAGTTCTATCTTTACTTTTTATCCCTTCATAACATACACCAATCTTTCATATACTATACTACCTTCATACGGTGACCTTCACTTCGTATGGTATACATGCCCTTCCAGTGGTATGTTTCTTAACTCTGTGCACTAGTACTTTGTATAGAATCCTTGCCTGCTGAGTAGGAAGTGGTGGCCCAGCTCCTTTTTGCTTCAGGGAGCTGCAGTGAGAGGCTAACAATGGGATTTGCATACTTTTTTGATAATAATGTGGCTTCCTATGTCCTGTAGAAGTAGCTCTCAAAAGCCACGTGTTCATTAAAATTATTTCGGGGACTTAAGGCATCCAGGGGAAGAAGGTGAAGGGTAGAGGCAGATGAACAGGTGGAGAGAAGTGAATTCATGTGGGTGCCTAGTGAAGGAAGCAGTCTCCAGTGGGTTTAGTGCGGGCAGAGCTTGTCTACCCAAAAGGGATGGTAGCATCCAGAAGTATTCAGTGCCTTGATAGCAGACAGTTCAGCCAGTATCTGTGTGATCAGTGGACTGTTCAGGGAGGCTTTAAAGAAAACCTGTCACTGCCCCTTCTCTCTGCACCTATAGGGGACACTCTGAGGCTCCGAACAATTCTGGAAGCAATACAGAAACACATCCATTCTTCCTCCCTCATCTTCAAACTGGCCCAAGATGCATTCAAGATTGCCACTCCCACAGACAGTAGTACTGACAGCACCCTGCTCAACGTGGCCCTGGAGCTGGGGTTACAGGTATGGAGGAGGAGTGGGTCATCCCTGCTTTAGGCTTCTGGCCTAGTGATCATCGGTAGAAGATAAAATCCCAGAAGCACTGGGCGTGAACCAGCCAACCCGAGTCTTTCTGTGTCCCCAGAACACAACTTCTAGGCTAGGCCTCTAGGTAAGGACTCTCTAAATTAGCTCCATTTTGAAGTTAAGGCCAGAAGCAATGTAGCTTTAGCCTCCATAGGGTTCCCATTTTCTCCCACCCCTCCCACCAATCAGGTAGAAGCCTTCTCTGATGACCTGTAACAAAGTCCTTATTATCACACCTTACTATTGACTTGACTTGGAGAGATGGGGAGGGGGTGGGCAGAAATTAAACCTGTCTGTTCTTATCAGGAGAGAGATGGCTGTTTAAAGCACCAATAAATACTTGTTGCATAAATGGATGGCAAGGGGATGTGGGGATGTAGAAATCCTAACAGTTATGCTTAGCCAAGTGGAAATGCCTCTTTTTTGCCCAGGTGATGAGGATGACCTTATCAACTCTTAACTGGAGGCGCCGGGAGATGGTGCGGTGGTTGGTGACATGTGCTACAGAAGTGGGTGAGTCTCCCACTTCCCTCCAGTCCCCAGGGAAAGGAGTTCCTAGGCCCTACTCTTGGAACGAGACAGCGAATCCTTAAAGCTCTCATATTCCTATTACTGATGGCCTGGGGAAGGATGGGGCTGCTGGTAGGAAAGATGGCCTTTATTTAGCTAGCCCAAGCTCTGCCCTCACTGCTTGGACCATACCCTGATGTCAGCAGCACTTTGACCCTCTGATCAGAGACATGATTGAGATATGAATTTTCAGCCACCAGTATACAAGTGCACCCTTGGGAGGTAGTTGGCCCAGTGGTTTGGTCCCAGTCCCTGCCTATGCTTCTGAAAAACCCCAGACAACTTGGAGTCTTGGGACCCCGTCTAGAACCCAAAGTCCCCTGAGAGGCCCCACTTCAGCTAGAACCCCCAGGCAGATCTGCGACCCCTGCCTTTGGGCAGGTAAACCACAGGCTCTACTGCTCCATCCTTGTGAGGGGCTAAGAGCACCTGCAGTAATCTTCAACCCTCTGACTTGGGGAAGGAAGGGATGGGAAGAGACCCCAAACAGGGTCTGGCCATCCGGGATGCTCCCTGGTTTGCCTCAGATCATCTCAAGGCTGCTGAGGAGGAGGGACAACTCATCTCTGCAGGCCAAGTTCTGACCCCAAAGGGTAATCTGGGCAGACCTGGATCGGGACCCGGATGGCCACGGCTGAGCTCAGGCTCTCCCTGACAGGTGTGCGGGCCCTGGTGAGCATTTTGCAGAGCTGGTACACACTCTTCACCCCCACTGAGGCTACTAGCATTGTGGCTGCCACCGCTGTATCCCACACCACTATCCTGCGCCTCAGTCTTGACTATCCACAGCGAGAGGAGCTGGCTAGCTGCGCTCGCACGCTGGCCCTACAGTGTGCTATGAAGGATCCACAGAGCTGTGCCCTGTCAGCCCTTACACTCTGTGAGAAAGACCACATCGCCTTTGAGGCAGCCTACCAGATCGCCATTGACGCCGCCACTGGTGGCATGACACATTCGCAACTGTTCACCATTGCCCGCTACATGGAGCTCCGTGGCTACCCGCTACGTGCCTTCAAGTTGGCCTCGCTGGCCATGAGCCATCTCAACCTGGCCTACAACCAGGATACCCATCCAGCCATCAATGATGTGCTCTGGGCGTGCGCCCTCAGCCACTCTCTGGGCAAGAATGAGCTGGCAGCCCTCATCCCCCTAGTGGTGAAGAGTGTGCACTGTGCCACGGTGCTCTCAGACATCTTGAGGCGCTGTACGGTGACAGCGCCAGGCCTGGCCGGCATCCCAGGCCGCCGCAGCTCTGGGAAGCTCATGTCCACCGACAAAGCCCCACTGCGCCAGCTGCTGGATGCCACCATCAATGCCTATATCAACACTACACACTCACGCCTGACACACATCAGCCCTCGCCACTACGGAGAGTTCATTGAGTTTCTGAGCAAGGCTCGGGAGACCTTCCTGCTGCCCCAGGATGGCCACCTGCAGTTTGCCCAATTCATCGACAACCTCAAACAAATCTACAAAGGCAAGAAGAAGCTGATGCTGCTGGTGCGAGAGCGCTTTGGCTGAGAAGGCAAACAGCTCATTGCCGGGGCAGCCTGGGCTCCCAGGTACCACAGGTCAGGCCAAGGACACTGAAACATTTGTCCACCCTGAGAGGACTCTGAGCACCTGTGGCTGAAGCCAAAGCACCACAGAGCTAAGCATGGGAGAGTCCAACTCTAGCCAATATGCCTTCCTTGGCAAAGTTCTCACTATAGCCCACTGTTCCTGAAGGAGCTGGGCCCTGCAGATCGATCAGAAACCCCACAACATGCCACCTCACGCCCCTATATCCTGCGTGTCCTGGGCATTGGCCCGCTCTCCCTTGGCAAACACAGAACACTGTTCCGTCTCAGGGATTGCTTAACCAGAGAAACAGAAGCATTTATGGTACTGTAAATACTATAGTATATGTGTTGCCAATTACATTGTAAAGTTGTAACTATTTATAATTCTGGTTCTAATTTGATGGGTACTTGAAGTAGCTATGGGTGGGAAGATAGGCTTGTTTTCTGAGGAGACACAACCATTTCTCAGGTTTGCCTTGCAGAATAATACAGATTGCAGTGGAAGAGTGGGGGTGGTGGGGAGCACAATGGCCAGTTAGAATAAATCCCAGGTCTAGTCTATGCAGAAACCCCAGCCTGCAGACACAGGGCATCTATATAGCCCAGTGGTGGGAGAGGGGCAGGGCCAGGACTGGACTTAGACTCTTGCCTCAGAAAGCCACAAGGACAGTAAAGCTCTTGCTCTTGCTACACATAGCCTCTCTAGGAGCCTCCTGAGCTCCTGAGAAATAAGTGCACAGGGGAGGGTGAAGGTCTGGGAGGCCACTGAGCTCATAATCATCTACTCTGGTCACCTTTGTGTTAGAGAGTGTCTGGTTTTATCTCTATGTACACGTGTGTATGTATCTGTATGGCTCAGTACACGTGTCTGTGTGCATACCCATCTTGCACATATTATTTATGTGTGTCTGTGTCAAGTCTGGGTCTCTCTGAGTACGTGTCTATGTGCTGGACTGTGGGTTTGTATGTGAGGGTATACACATCTGTGAACATGTAAGGATACGTACCTGTGTGTGTTCTGTCAGTGCATGTTTAGCTGGGGGGGGGCACACAGATGCATGTGGATAAACATGTCTGCGTTTGTATGCTTGCTCCCCTTTGGTCTTTCTATGTATAACTGTGTGTATTTTGACATTATGTCTGTGAATTTATGTTTGAGAATCTGCATGAATGTGTCCCTTCTCTTTTTTGCCAGATCTCTTTTCCCCATTCCTCTTCATCTCTCTCACCAGCTAAACACGTCCCTCATCTCTTTGCCTCCCTAATTCACCATTTTCTCAGCAAGCTCCTAAGCACCAGTCTCCCTCTACCCTGAGTGATTCCTTCAGCTCCACTTCTCTTCTTGCCCTGTACTTGCTTTCTTCCCTTGCCTTTCTACCTCAAGCTTCCTCTGTCTGCCCACTGGTCACTGTTTTGGAGGCTGGGGCTGGAATGCATTTGGCCTTTCCCTTTCCGAGTAGTTTCTACCCCTAGTAGGCAATGCCTGTCTTAGCCCTAGCTGACCTCTGCAGTGTATCATGTTCCTGCTACCTTCCTAACCCCTGTGCTCAGCCTGGAATTGTTATAGGAGGTAGCATGGGCTTTCAGAAGAGTCATCTGGATGCCAGTGTCTTGGTGTTTACTGTTTCATGTTTTAGTTCCGAAGTGGGGGGTGGGGGTGTGATAGGGAAGGGGTGGTATAGCTAGAGTGTGAACTAAGGACCTCTCTGTCTGCTTTATGTTCCTTTCTTTGACAAACTGTCACTTTTTTTTCCCTCCACACTAACCAGTAAGTCGTTTTTGCTGTTTGTGGCTACTTAAATCTTACCATCCAGCCATGGGCCCCTACAATCTCTCAGCCCAATAGGTTGGTTTAAAAAAAAAAAAAAAGGCAGCAGCCACTCCCATTTCTGTATCACGATTGCCGTTTTTTAGCAAGTGTGTGAACTCACAGTGCTTTTCTATGAATAAATCATGGATCACAGAAAATAGCATTTTTCTAAAATCAGAATTGTGTTCTCTCAATAAATGGGGCCCTTCTCTTCTACATTGCCCCAGACTGGGACAGGGAACTGGTTGGGCCTCTAGTGCAGTGGGTCCCTAGTGGTCTAAGGAGATGTAGAATGACAAATGAAGAATTTCCTGCCACACCACACCCCTCTCCAGAGCTCACAGGCACCTCAGACCTTGTCCCAGGAGGTAGGTACCACCATGATGGGCAGAAACACCAAAGTCCTGAGAAAATTAGAGGGTATGCTCAGAAAAGAATGCAGAGCAACCCTGTGTACCATAGCACCTTTTGGCTTCAGAGGCCTTCTGGCCTCAAAGATGCAAGTCTAAGTCTCTACTCCTAAGCATCCTAGCCCTCCCCCATCTTTTGGTGTCAAAGCTAAAGTCCTCTCAGCTTCTCCCTGCTCACCTAGATTCCATCTTCCCCAACAGGCCTCTCTAGAATATTCTAGAAATTTCTGTGCCCCTCTCTGATCTATACTCCCCTCCATCCCCAGACACAAAGCTCTGTCAATTTGGCCTTCTATGCTGTGGGGACCCCGTTTCTCTGCAAATGTCACAGCTTCAGCGCTAGGAAGCTTTACCCAACCCCATGTAGCCCTCAGGCTCGGAGAGCTGAGAGCAAGATGGTAGTGAGGGCCCTGACATTGAGTCCTACAGTACATATTCACTGATATCTGAGCTCCTATGAGTTGGAGGAGAAGATACAGAAAGGGGCCCCAGAGAAGCAGAGGCTAAGAAGGAACTGAGGATAAGGGCAAAGATCTTCCACAAATGAAAGCATATGTTAGATTCCAACTCTGCAACGTTTATTCTCCTGGAAACAATCAATCATCTTTGTTAGTGGTAGTTGAGGGAAAAGTGTATGCTCAGTTCTGTCGAAGCAGACGTGAATGTCTATGCACAGCATCCACAAAGGCCCCGACGTGTTCTGGGTCCATGTCAGGGTAAAGTCCATGGCCCAGGTTGGCAATGTAGCGCTGTGGCCCAAAGTCATCCAGCATCTGCTGCACCAGCTGTCCGATCTCCTCCTGGAGGACCAAAAGGGTACTGGCTACAATGGGGCCAGCAAGCCCCTGTACTCACTACACATAATTGTGACACATACAACATGTAGGTATGTTCCTACTCAGTGTTACTGAGTCATGCAGTCATTAACTCAAAAAAGTTTACTGGATGCTTAGTATGAGCCAGACAACTATAAAAAGAAACTCCTGCTTTCCTAGAGCTCACATGATATGTATAGAGGGACAAACATAAAATAAAGACACACACACATTAATACAACCATATCCACAACCATGGGAGTATACAGACTCACACACACACATAGGGACCCTGGTTACCTCAGATGCATACAGGGCACAGGGGTCCAGGTTGCCCTGCAGGGTCACCGTCTTCCCCACACGTTCCCTGAAAGTAAAGTCAGCGCCATGTTCTGGTGACTGCACATATGACAGCTACACTCTCTCCACCTCACCCTTTATCACTCACCGGGCTTTCTCTGGGGCCACTGTCCAGTCGAGCCCAACCACCTCGTAGCCAGCTTGGGCCAGCTCTTCCAGGGCAAAATGTCCATCTTTAGCAAAGATGATCTGAGGGAAAGGACAGATCTCTGAGGCTACAAAGGGCCTTCCTATGCCCAATAACTTATCTTGGCTGCACCTCTGCTGCCCTCCAGTGGTCACTTCAGTCCATACAGGACACACCCAAAAGTTCCACAGGCCCACCTTCACTTATTCCATCCCCATCCTTACCATGGGTACTGGTGCCAGGCCTGCCTGCTGCAGCCTGGCCTTCACCCGCTTGGACACATCACGGATGTAGGGCAGCGCAAACTGACTGAAGAGCTGTGGGCCAAGATGCCCTGCATGGGACTCAAAGAGCTGCAATGCCTACAGTTGGCGGGGGTGGGGGTTGGGGGGTGGGTTGGTGAAGAGAAATACATAACACACTAAGTATCTCAGGCCCCACACACAACGTTATCTCAATTTTTCCGTAGTGACTTTGGACCCTCATACTGCTTAAGCCTGTAAATCCAGTTCCATTCAAAAAGTTTTGCCTTGGGCGCCTGGGTGGCTCAGTTGGTTAACCGACTGCCTTCGGCTCAGGTCATGATCCTGGAGTCCCAGGATCCAGTCCCACATTGGGCTCCCTGCTCATCAGGAAGTCTGCTTCTCCCTCTGCCCCTCCCCCCTCTCATGTGCTCTCTCACATTCTCTCTCCCTCAAATAAATAAATCTTTAAAAAAAAAAAAGTTTTGCCTTCTCCACATTCCAGTGCTAGCTTTGGTCTTTGAACACATAGCATTGCCAATGTCAATGACAAGGTGGACCTAGGTGCTCCAGTCAGATCATTGTAGGCCAAGCTTCTTTCCTGCCTGGCATTAAGACACCTACCTACCCTCTCAGGTGTAAGGAACTCTACTGCTTCTCATTCTTCTAGACCCCAGCCTTTCTCTCTCTCTCAGGACCCACCTGGGCACCAGCGGCCACTTGTCCCACCAGATATGGGACCAAAGCATCAGTGAGGATGCGAAGCAGCTGGTGACTAGCCTGTGGTTTCTGGTAAAGCCAACGCTTGGCCTGAGCCATGGTGCTTGAGCTGCCACCCTCAATCATGTATGTCATCAGAGTCCACTGCAAAAGGATACAAAGAGAATGTCACAGGTGTAGAAGCCAGACTGATACTTCCCTTGTCTACACCAGACCTGCCAGAGTGATTTCCTCATGCCCAAATCCCTGCCCTGTTCCACATTACCGGGGCACCAGCAAAGCCAATCAGCGGCACACGCCCAGCCAGCCGTTGTCGGGTGAGGGTGATGGCCTGGAACACATAGCCCAGCTCGGAGGTCACTGATGCTGGATCCCGGAGACGTTCTAAGTCCCGCTCTTCTCTTAATGGCTCTGGGAAGCTAGGCCCTTTGCCAGGCACCATAGTCACCTCCATACCCAGTGCCTGGAAGGGAAGAAAATATCTGGATTCCCAACCTGTAACTCTAGGAGGAAAGGCTCTGTTTAGCCCACGCCAAGAAGGAGGAAAAGGAGAATGAAACTTGGCCAAACTCCATCTCTTTCAGCCCAAGTTTTTTCCTCTGTCCAGTGAGGATAAGGACTTATCTTGAGCCTTGATTATCTTTACCCTTTCTTACCCATCAGGTTTGAGCGGGTACCTGGGGTACAACAAGGATGTCAGAGAAGATGATGGCAGCATCCAGAGGGAAGCGACGCAGTGGCTGTAGGGAATAGAAGACAGGTTACTAGTAGGCAAGCTGAGGGCATAAGTCCCTCCCTTTTTTGTGAAGGCCTCACCTGCAAAGTCAATTCACAGCAGGCCTCCGGGGAGCGACAGGTGCTGAAAAAGTCCTGA